AACTTGCCCCTAAAAGTTCGGGCATGACCCATTCAGAAATAGACAGATAACCTGGTATATATATATATATATATCATATGGGGCCTTGACGGAAGCATAAAACATACAAGAATACAAAATTAAGCAAATCCCATTGAGCTATTTCTAACATGCCAGGATCTCATGCATTACATGCACCATAAGAGGTTGATAAAATCCAAAAATATTCTTGGCAGTACACACATATACAAAAACATATACAGACTCAGCCCTGTAGTCGGGCATGTACAAAACTAGTGGAGTTATACACATTCAACCTTAGAAGGGTAGCCAAGATATAAGCTAATTATCTTAGTAGACTTTACAAAATGGGTGGCCTCATGAGTGCTTGGATACGCGAAGGTTGTCAAAAGGAACCGGGCATCATAGGTTAGGGATGACCACCTGGTTGGTTGCCTACAGAAACAGACATAACAGAGAGTGAGCCGGGCTCAGTGAATAGTAATACATAATGAAGCAATGCTCAACTTGAAACATGGCATATATCAATGTATGTGTAAATGCAGAGGTTACAAAGTTAGCCGTGCGAGAGAGAGAGAGAAGAGAGATAGAAAGATGAAAAAATGGGTGAAAAGAGAAATGTTCAAAAGAGTAAGACGACGTCGTTTTTATTTTTTTTTTGTAACAGAAAAATATCGTTGCATTTATTTAAACAATTTTATGACTATATGTATATGAAGCCGTCTCAAAGCCACAATATATATATATATATATATTTTTTTTTTGCAACGGTACGTATTACAATCGCAAAAAACTCTTCTTTTTTTTTGCGATTGCAGCTGGTACCGTCGCAAAAACTCTATTTTTTTTTTGCGACAGCAATCTCTGCCATCGCAAATACTTTATTTTTTTTTTACGACAGCAATTTCTGTTGTCACAAATACTCTACTTTTTTGCGACGGCAAGTTGTGCCGTCTAAAAAAGTCATATTTTTTGGCGACAGCAAGTTATGCCGTCTCAAAAAGGCACATTTTTTGAGACGGCAAGTTGTGCCGTCTCAAAAAGTCACATTTTTTGCTTGAG